ACACGACGTAGGAAGCAATACTACAAGGTTGACCATATTATCAAAGCATGTTATGTTTTGCATAACTTCGTGCGGAAAAAGGATGTTATGCGAGTTGAGGATGAGTTATACGAGTCTCCTATGCACAGCTGTCATCCGACTGAAACACGGGCTGAGGGCTCTGACACACCAAGCTGCTGTTCCATTAACAACTAGTCACTCCTCATGCCGCGAGGTAAAGAACTAGTTGTGACTTATTTTGACTTGCGATAATCGCGTCGCTTCCTGAAGAGAACTGGTTGCTTTTTTTTAGCCGCAACGGTGTTTAGTCGCATATGCGCGCTTTTGTATTGAAAAACTGTGTGTTTCATTTTTGCGACCAAATGATCGTGCGACCGAAAATCGCATGTGCGAGCCTGGCCTTAGAGATCGAAAGTTAGAATTATGGCTTTTTCAAATGCTAACCTCTAAAAACTGACGGAAATGCAAGTGACGGATATATACCTTTTATATAAAAGGAAATCTGCGACCCGTCAAAAATTCTTCTTCATTGGACGATTATAGTTGGCTTTTAAATGTTGTATCCCACCTTCATCTCGATGCAATGCAATGAGTCGATGTCGTGATGACGTAAAAATTGGCGATACCAACACATGTTCACTGCCTTGAAGGCAAGTTTAAATTATGCATTGCTGTTAAATATCTAGATCTAATCTCTCCAAAACTGATGGAAGCCTGGGAAGATATTTCATAACCTAGTACTTGACGAAGATGTCTTCTACTTAAGTTCGCGGTTGATTAATTATATTTAGTAGGTGTAAAAAATGTTCATTATTGATATTAATCGTCACATTCACTTTGTCATCAAACATTTTATGAAGTTTTATCAAGATTGGTATATTAACATGTTTATGGGTCGTGAAATTCAACATCCCCAATTCGTGCAGTCGTAAAATAAAAAATAAAGTTGAGTATACTGAGTGGCACGGAAGAGGAAAGAGAAAATACAGTGGCATTCGGGTGACTGAAAAATATTTAGATGATCTTGTGTCTTCACTCCTTTCACGTGCAAGCTCGAAATAGAAACAGTCCTATTGGGCTGTCGACTCAACCACCAGCAATATAACAGTCGCCTGGGTGACTTATAAGTCAAAAGTAGTAATCACAGCTGATTCACTGGCAAAAAAATCTAGAGTACTGTGTCCGGATCTCCTCTGCATTCTGTCCCATACAGCCACGACAACAGCTCCGCTGTGCTAGTGGCATTGCAGCTGGACATTGTCAGCTAAAGAAGCATCTCTATAGTAAGTGCATCCTTGTGTAGAGTATGTGAACAGGAAGGTAAGATATTCAAACGCTTGCCTTGCAAATGCCTGTTCTTTCAAACGAAAATGCATTCCAGGGAAGCGTTGGTCTTCTATGGCTAACATTAGATAAACTCTCCTGGATCGTAACTAGGGTCCTATCCATTTTTTGGCCAAAGCCAAAGCCAACGCCGATGTTCGGCTTTAAACACAACGTTCAGGAAAAGTCGAAGTCCAATGATGATTTAATAAAATATGACATTTCTGTTTATTTGAAAAAAAGAGTAGAATAACGAACGTTTGTGTACTTGGCTCTGTTTCTTATAAATTGTGACCGTTCTAATGCAGTATTGACTCGAAACTGAGACAATACGTGTTTATTTCCTGATTATATTTTGATGATTGTTGGGGCCCAGTTAAATTAACATATACGAGTATAAATAAAGCAATACCTATGAAATTTCAAAATTCGTCATTTTGGTAATAAATCAAAAATGAACCTGAAATGATTTTTCTGACATTCGTACGGTTTTGGAAAGTTCTTATCGCCTCTGTTAAATAAGATATTCCCAGTAAGTTAGTAATTTAATATGAGAATTTAAAAACAGGGTGCCTATAGGACAGTCGATTCCATGAAACATTTTTAAAATTATACCTTGTAATAAAGGTAACTTTTAGAATAAAACAATCATTTTATCTACAGCACATCAACACCGCGTAGTGTTCGAATCTTTGTCCTGCAGCATCAGATGTCTGACAAAATTATGTACACTGGTAGTATAATGGATGAAACATACCGGCCACCGTAAGGAGCCAGCGCATAGGCCACTCAGACGGGTAGTAACTGGTATCAAAGATATTTCAGAGTAGATAATCGGCATTGACATAAAATTATGAACCAACGGGTCATATTCGTATATGTTTCAATTGTTTCTAAATTTCAATCATGTGCATTTTCGGCCAAAACCTCCGGCTTTTTATTGCTAAATGCCGAATGTGTGGCTGAAGGCTATTTTTTCCCGAATGTGGACAAAGCCGAAGCCAAAGTTTCGGTCGGACCTTAGTCGTATCACCCTTTTGTCATCTTGAAGGCCTTTATAAAGGAACGCCCAGAACACAAGGCGATAATGTCGCCAGTATGACATCATGCCTGTTAAAAGCACTTCTGTTCACCCCTTTCAGTTTATGGGAATATGCTCATTACGTAAAAACCCTCCATTTGCATTCGCAATTGTAACATTGTATGCAGTTATACACCCGGGCAGATCGATGCAAGATATTAAGTTATACAAGAGTGGAGGAAACGCTAAGTGGTGGAGTTAGCACGAACTCCATGTATATTATTTCGGCCACTTGTGAATGGGGGATGATCGTCGTAAGTAGAAACACATTTTCGCTTTGTATGTACTTACAATGAGTATACATATTCTAGCAATGTTGTAATCCATTTGTGATTCCAAAGTATATGTTCCAGAATAAGATGTCATACGCTAGGGAGCATATACGACAAAAAAAATTACGCCACAAATTAGTATAAAAGACGACCTACGGAAGTCTTCTACGAAGACACTGACCGCTAAAGAACCTAGGTGGGAATTGTGTTTTTAAATAAGTATTAAAATAACAATCTCTCAACGCAACAAAATATTGACAGCGTAATAAAGAAGTTGGGTACTCATATCATGATTGAGTTATTTAGAATGCTTAGGATATACTAGCCCTAACATAACACAACCTGTATAATAGTACAACAAACATCAGGTCTTTAAAAAATTCATTCTTGTTTAGTTTCGAAAAGATGAGCTGTTTTTGAAAAAAAGCGTCGTTTTCCTACTGATTTTTTATCAATTTACACTGAAGCCGATTATTTGATTTGAAAATGGAGCAAATCCCAGAATGATTTGAGTAGCTAATTAGGAATAAATTCAGTATTACTACATTTCGATATAACCAAGCCACTATATTGGATCCAGCACCAGAAACGGAAAGCATAGTTGACCCATTATAAAGGGTACAAACACTTCAATCAGTGTTGCTTTGTAGCTAGACAATGACACCATGATGTGCGGAAGAAATTGGTTACTATGTTGTCATTATGCAGTGTCGAGCAGAAGTTACTTCATGCGACATATTTTAGAGGCCTGAAACTTCGTAGGAGACTTCAAAGAACATTTTTATAGAAATTTATTTCCTAATGAATCACCAGGTTAGTTTCTGACAAAATCAAATTTCTTGAGCGATAGTCAACAAAAAGAGAGCTCAATGACATATCTCTGTTATGCACACATCGACAGGAAGCCCAAGCCCGCCACTCGTCATCATTCCCTTGAGTGAGAGATTTTAATAGATTCAATGTTCAGCGGAATGTACTTATATTTACAACCACCAGAACGTGAAAAATGATTATTTTCGAGACTCGACCCTCTTCTCTCCTCTTTATCACCTTAACAAGCAGAGCCTTTTTTAGAAAGGGAATAAGGTCAAATTAGCTTCAAGCAGTAACTTTTGCCTTTAGAAGGCAAGTATACTAAAGCATAATACAGCTGATTTACAAGTTGGACTTGCTAAGGAGGAGTTCGAAACTTCTTCTCTATCCCAAATATCCAAACTAGGGGTTGAACTCCAATAGATCCGTAAGCAGTTCATAACCATTGCCAATCTGAGGCTCATTACCAACCCTTCACGCCAAAATGAGTGATCCACCAATTTGAAGCTTTATTCCAGCTCAAGGAATGTCCAGAATATACCTATTCTAATAAACTGCAGAGGTCTGAAGAGCCAGTAAGATGCAAGTGAACAAGGTATCCTTACTGAAAAAAGTACTTCATGTCAAATTACTCCTCATATAGACTAACTACTTTCCCATAAATCTCCCATTCCATGAACAACAACATTTTCTATGCCATTGTAGTAATATATTTATATTTTGTGTAGCCCGAATGTTTGCCATTTTCTATTCATATTCTGTATATCATATGATTGTTATTGTAGGCACATCCTTCTATCTTACTAGATCTCTTTTTACGTGACATTTTTAAACTACAAATATCTAAAATTCCTGGATTTTGAGCCGCTTGAGAAACAAACTATTTAGTTAGACTCGAGCGACAAAAAGCAGGACGTAATTTTAACAAGAACAAAGAGTTCGATAGTTTTGAATCCAAAGTCGTAGTTCAAATTTTTAGGAAATATACGACAATATCTTGTGAATGAACAAAACCCTAGATAAGTTCTTATATTTACTACGATTTCTTATTATATGGTGTCAAACGTAAATAAAGTTAAGCAGAACTTTTAGTCACATACTCTACCACCTGAAAATTCTGAAAAGAATCGCTATAAGAAAAGAGTTAATCATTACAAATAACTAAAAAAATAAACTATAAGGTGGTAGGGGTACTGACTACATACGATATATTAGAGCATTATCACTCCCGCTGATTGAAATATGAAATAGTTGATAAGGATTAAGTTAATACATAGTAGATAGTAAGATTTTACTATAGTTGTTATCTAATTATAGACTAGGTAACAGCACGATAAAAAATATAACGTTTATTTTTCATACAGATGTTTATAAAAACAATTAAATTTTGTTACAAGAATTTTATAGTTTTTAAAGCACACAAAAACATTTAATGATCTATTTATCAACATATTTGCTTCCAACTCCTAACATACAATTCACTAAAATAAATTTCATATGTAATTTTGTACATGGTACTACTACTGAAAAACTATTTTTCAAAAAAACTCATATATAATTTAATATACTCTGTCAATAAGAAATACTCCGAGAAAGTAGATACCAGTTGTACATTGTACACGGATGGTATAAAGATTGTGTATGAATACCTAACTTACGAGTCGGAGTTTAGTACGTATGCATGTCCTACGTCTTTGACGAATTTTGCCACTTTCTAACATTCTTCTAACTTCTAAGCATTATATAGTTACTAATAAAAACATTCAAGCATTAGTTATTATCAATAATAATTTTGCTTCGCTATTATCACGTCACTTTTGCAGTAATTGTATTTTCAGTCCCTTTTCTTCAGAATTATGCATTCTCTGTCATCATTGACCTTTGTATTAAGGCCTAAAAGTCACTGTAACAGCCATGTGCATTTTCCTTCTAAATGTACATTATAGGAACGGATAGTTCAAGTGGTTCCAACTTTATACATATTTTTGTTTGCTTATTTTCTCAATTTGAACGCCAAGCACAGTTATTTTATCGTATGAATCGGTATCACAGTAAGGTAAAACTGAATAGGTTTCCATTTCTAACGGGTCGAAACATGTGCTGACGTCTGGACTTTTAGAGGTCTGGAGCTTCCAAAAAGGAAAATAAGAATTGTGTTATTTACGATTATTTGCACATGGTTGTACAACATGAGCCTATCTGGAATAAAATGAAGTATATTATAACAAACAGTACGCGAATTTTACATAAACCATACAATTCATATCCAGGCACCACTCGCAGAGGGACAATATTTCGTAGTTACAAATAATTTTCGCAACTTCTAGTATAAACTGTTCCCCAGTGCTCCATTTTTTATCAATAGCCAACGATCTGTTTCGATTTAATGCATACTAAATTTTGTTTGTGACCACAAATTTATCAAAAACTGTTTTATGATTGTTTTGAGTGAACGCTACAACCCAGCAAAGCATTAGTGAATATGTTTAGAAAAGTATTATTACCGATTAAAAATGAAAATGTTTTTCTAGACAAAACAACAAAAAAAGTTGCTGTGTCATCCGTACATCCAAACGGATCCAAATGAGTTGAAAATTTCAGATAATTATAGATCATGGAGAATAATCCCCCAGCACACAGATCTGCCAGATATCAATTTCTAAACATTTTATTGTTCTGCAATCCAAACATACGTTATATTGACACTGCTAATAGATGCACACATCAAAATCTATTACTTCGTTGAGTATTTCTCTGATATCTTAAGCACGTTAAAACTTTTGACTTACACGTTTGGTTAATGGTCACGCTTGGAAGAAAACATCGGAATTTTCCTTTATGGACTGAACATTATCTTTTAATCAGTACCTGTTGAATTTCCCTTAGCAACATTTTATACAGTGTAGTTTCAAAATCTGACTAATCTACTTCAACAGACGAACAAGACATTAAACTTCAAAGTCGGCTATTAAAGGGTTACAGCTGCATTTTCGCTTTATTCCAGTTTAGCTCATAAAAACGAAATTCCAACGCGCTAAATTTTCGTTCACAACCTTTTCTGTGATAATTACAATCATTGTATCGCAATAATGAAATGCTGTGTCTTGTATTGCAAGTAGGCTGTTGTTGTTTGTTTAGACTACAGAAAGATAAATGTAAAACGCGGTTGTTTTGTCACTAATTGTTGTTAAATTACTAACGCGGAAGATATGATAGTTGTGTTTTGTAATATTAAACTTGAATGTACAAATATATGACGTAATTCATTTATGGTTGTTTTATTTCCATGGAACTCGAATCCACAATTCTGGTAGTCGATATTGGCGTGTCTGCTATATACATCCCGTCGTCCACGAATTCTCCTATCAAAATCCGAATTCATAGTTTTAGATAGGAGAATCGAATGGTATTACACTTCAAACTGTAAAAATCCTAGATTATATCTGTAGATTACGTTCCTTATCTGGATACATCTCACTGCCCTTCCAGCGCATAAGTATCGGAAAATCTAAAGCGCTTTCCGGTATTACATCGAAGATGATAGTATCCCAATTTCAGGAGCTTCTGGGGGCTGGAAACACGCTGTATTTTTTTAGCAAATGAAGATATCGCTCCAAGATTGGGACATGTTTATTAAGTCATCAAGGGGCATTTCTGGAAAGTTGAATGGTGATATCTCTCCTTTCCGGTTTAACCGGAAGTAACCTTGACTTTAGTTTTTCAAATAGAATCCTGTATGTTTTCTTCCATAATCGTAATCTATGCAAAATTCTCTTTCCAACGAAGTTCACAAGTGGCATTTTCGTCTTAAAATGGCGGCGCTATAAAGGAACTTGTAAATAACCTAAAATCTGCCATATTATTTACACGACAAAAAAATATTTTAAACTGTCAACAAATGTATATTAAAAAGGGCTAAATAAATGAAAGCTCGATCACCCGACTTGACCATTTTAGAGTTTTTGCATTTGAGCCTACTTGAAGGAGGTTTATGTCACGCCTACTATAAATCTGTTAGTTTATAACAGCGAATAACAGCAGTAATTAACACCAGGTGTTAAGGTCCTTATCTGAAGATTTTTTAAACATGCAGAAACTATAAGAAGGGTCACTAAATGCTACGAAAATACTGCAGGACGCTTTGAACTGTATTAGCCTTAACATGAATGTCTAATAGTTTTCAGTTATTAATTTCGTAATATTCTTTTTACTAGAGTATAATGTTAATAATTTCAGTTTGTTTAATCAAAGGGAGTTGTTTTGATGTCTGTTATTATGAAATAGAAAATAAACACATTTTTTTATTACTTCGCCTGAAATTATATATTTTTTATTTCGATCACATCGCCACTTTGATAGTTTAAAATATGTTTTTGTCTTTTAGGTGATTCACAGATTCCTTTATGGCGCCGCCTTTTTTAAACGAAAATGTCACTTGGAAACATCGTTGGAAAGACAATTTTTCGTAGAATACGATTATGGTTGAAAATATACTACAGGTTTTCATTTGAAAAACGAAACTCAAGGTCACTTCCAGTTATACCGGAAGGGAGAGATAACCCATTCAACTTTCCAGAAATGTCTCTTAGTGACTAGCTAAACATATCCCAACCTTGGATCGATATCTTTATTTGCCAAAAAAATATAGCATTTTTTCAATTTTCCTTGTCACCCGGGATATTATACCACTATTTTAATTAAATTTGGTACTCGGTTACTATGCAGTAATAGTCACTTCCGGTTGTATACCTTATTTATTTCTGTGGGTGGCATTCCTGCGGGACTTGAACTAAGTAGTCTTAAAGATAAGTTTGATACATAGATTGTATTTACAATTGTCATAATTTAATTCATTGTTTCTGCGTGAAAAATAAGAAATATCAAGTTACGTATATGTTGTTTGTAATCTTGTATCCATTTCCATATTATAGTCATATTCCTGTAAAGAATTGTTTCCTGTTGTTTTACGTGGAAACAGTTAAGATCAAATTCCAAAATTTATCACTCTGTATCTCAAGATTCATCACAGTTGAGAAATACGTTCATACCTATACATTCTTTTTTAATGAACTTAAGAATGAACCTTTTTAATGCTCTATCTTGCGTTTGAAAAATAATTTATAATCCCGATGAAGGTTTTTGATACTTTTTCCGATGCCTTCAGTTCTTTAATACTCTGTAAGAATCCAACTCATCTCGAGAAACAGCTGTTGTTGCTCGTACATATGTACCTTTTGCCGTAACTCAAATTGTAGACACTGTGGACTATGTACAAGTGTCTCCAAGTACGTACATTATTTTGTATTAGATGAATAATAAAAAATTGAAAAATAATCAAATTGGCTGAACATTCTGTATATATCATAGAATCTGAAAAGTGAACAAATGTCACTCAAAAAAATTATAATTTTAACAGGCGTCAAACCACATTTTACCACGATTTTAAAACTTATTTAACATGGAATTTACAATGAAATTGCGGAAAGTATCATCTATTACAAAATCCGAAGAGACTCTAGCCGCTGCGAGCAAAATTGCTAGAAAACGTAAGAAAAGCAACTTAACATGCAGAACCTGTGTCTGTACATCCTCACAGGTACGTAATCAGAATGTTTGCCATCTCATATAACCAGAATTGGTTCTTCAATCCCGGTTGAAAACAAGGCATGTACACTCTTAGAAGTATGATCGAGTATGTCGCATTGCTAAACAAACTCACACTTCGGGCAGATAAGCCAACAAAGCAATATTGTCGAGCTTTTCTGACTGAGAGTAGCAATGAAAGCTTTTTGCTATAAAAAAAAACACTTAGAACCCCTCAACCAAAATGCTGTCCGTCTATACAGAGACATCTTAAGTTTCCAACGAGACTGCGTTTGAGTGCTGTTAATTAAGACACGTCCCGATATGGACAGGGAGCGCAGGATTCTACAATAGTTCAATGTTTCGATTCCTTTTCGGCAGATATAACTGCAGCTTCTTCGAAGAGGTGATGGAAGACCCAGACCTAGGAGATCTCTGAGATGATCATATAAAGGCTAAGCATTTTTTCCAAAAATATAAAAATTATTGTATAATTTGATTTTTCAGCTTGGTGTGTTCGATTTTCCACCAGTATGGAAGGAGCTAAGGGTAAATGCTCAGTTATGTGATGGCATCGTCAAGTGCGACGATGGTTCGGAATTCAAGATACATAGAGCTATCTTAGCAGCTGTTAGTCCATATTTTAAGGCTCTATTCACTAACTCGATCAACAGAACTCAGGTAAGAATCTTTTGATAGCTGTGATATCCTACGAAATAGATAAACATATCGTTTTAAGGCCAGACTGTCTAGATAACTCGCGACTAAGGTCAAATAGGCCGACGACTGGACAAATAAGCAATTTAAGGTTAGAAAACATTACGAATTTCAAGATGACTAAACTAAGTCGTGTAGAATTCCGTGTAGGGCCCTAAAAGTTAAATAGCTATGTGATAGCTTACAGGTTTTGAGAATAGCTTCTGAACTGTAAATAATGAATAAATATCAAATTAAAAGTAAATTTGAACAAAAAATGTTACAACCGACGGATAACGAATTCATCCAAAAAGGATTACGTACCTAGCAAGAACGCATTTATCCCCAACTAAATGAAAACAGCCGTGTTTAGACGTCTAAAGCTGAAGCACGAGCACTGTGTATAAACACACATGTTAGAAAGAAATAGAAGCTGGCTGAAGAGCACATTGCCTAGCGACGGTGACGCAGAAGGTCATGCAATCTGACGCGATGCCAATATGTTACACCAGAAAATGTTTGCACAAGCTTCTACAATAGGTTGGGTTAGTGTCAAACCCAAGAACTAGATCTTTTCGGACATTTAATTTAATATTTTGTATTTATGTTGAATAGAATTATTTATTTCACATCCTGAGTTGTCACATTTTGCGTCAGCGAGTGGTCGGAAAATGTAACAAATACCATTAAGTAATACAAATTATCACCGCTTGCGTGTACGCAGGTGAAAACCATTTGGAAGCAGGACGACACTTCCCCATGGATGAGTACTAACCATATCGCTTATCTATGATCATGGATGTGGAAACCTTGCCTTGGAATGTATGAGATGCGGTGTTGCCAAGCGAACCAATGATGCAATACTACAGAATTTGGGGCGATCCTGATTTTCATTTCGACCTAAAATGAAGCGCCGTTAAGACCTATCCGGATTCGAAACAATTCACAATTCAAAAATGTGTACGCTCAAAATGGATCCAGTATTTGGGTATCTTAATTCAAGGAACTGGTGTAACATATTGGCAACGCGGCAGATTGTCGCGTCAGCGTTGCTTGGTAACGCGGTGATGAGCTTCGCTATCTAGCTGGCTTCTATCTATTTCTAACATATATGCTTATACACACTTTTCTGTCGTACATATTGAACTCAAGCCGTCATACAAATTTGGTTCTCAGTGTAATACCAATCACCGTTGCCGTAAAGAGCCTAAACTGAATCCAAATTCAAGATGAGATGTAAATAATAACAGTTAGCTCGTGATCTCTCGGTAACAGGTGGGGACCACGCCTCTTATTGGTCAATTCGCCATTAAATCTCAAGCGGTCGCCTGGCGGAATAATGCGCGGGGCAGGGGCATGGCAGGCAGAGTTGCACTCAGGCTACCGTCCGTCGCGTGTATCACTGCGTGCTCGTGTTTTCGTATTCACCTTGCTTAGTTGTTGCTCTTGTTGTTGTTCAGTGTATTTGAGTAATTTGTTAAGTTTCTGTTTCTGTTAAATACTGTCATCTTTCTTTTACAACACGTTGGTGGTAGTCCATCATTCGGAGGTAGCCTTGAATGCGGCCCTGTACACCGTCCTTGCTTTTGGCAATCACGCATCCATTCTATCTTGGGTGTAAATACACTATAGTTCCCCAAGTTGTTCCCACATCATGCTCTTCCACCGTATTTGGTGACCGTCGTGATTCGTGATTTAGAAGTGTTACAGTTCGTGAAATATCTGACATCACTAAAAAAAGGGAAGAGGGCAGCAAAATACATCGCACAGTATTGTTGGTGCGCAGTGGCGTGCGACATGTTTTGCTGCTGTCTTACTTTTCGGTAATCGAGTAGGTCGATTTCCACCAAACGGAAGTTCTGATGTTGTTGTTTCAAGTAATTATCCTTTGGATGTTCTTAAAATTGATCATGGTTGATTTGTTCTACCTATTTGAACCTCCACCTGAGTGCCATATGAAACACATTTAGCGAGGTAGTATCATACTAAATCGTGAAAAGTATTTCATCAAAAATTCTAGTTGAATTTTATTGGATTTTCTAGTTTTCAAGCATATTGTGAAAGCAGGACGTGATAGCTAACACAAAGCTTTTGGGGATTTTCTTTATGAGCATCTGCATTTGTTCCGAATGCATGTATTTTTGTAGGAAGAGGCAACCGAGGCCAGGGTGAACGTAACGGGTGATACTTTCCAATCATTTTTGGACTTTGCATACACTGGCACATGTACGATTACCAAAAACAATGTGAAACACCTTCTACAATATGCCGATCAATACGAAATTCTGGATGTCGTCCAGTTGTGTTGTGCCTTTCTTATAAACGATTTATCGCCTACTAACTGCCTGGAAACACTGAAGTTTGCCAGTCAATACTTTTGCAACGAGCTCATCCATAAGGGAAGACTTTACATAAGGTAGGAATGATGAATCTGTACGCAACTTGAAATCATTATGATGCTTTTTAGAGTAACACCTACAACGCTGTGTTATAAGCGTGAGTTATACTTTTCACACCACATACGAAGAAGTATGATAATCTAGAAAAATGTACAAAAAGGTTATTGAGGTTTTTTTAGTGTTACATGGAATGTACATCAAAATAGAACATTTCACTAATTTCCGTCGGTTTGTCTGTCTAACACAAGATCACAATACCAAAGGCAAAAAAAATGTAGTTATGAAAAATAGGTCCAGAAGCAGCAAAGCTAAGCGCAAAAACCAAAAAAAATGAAAACCATTCAAACTTCGCTTTTTGACGTCTTAGAGGCTGCTTATCGGTTTCTTAAAAAAATTAGGGGTTAAACATATGTTGGAGGTGGTAAGGGTGGGAAGGGAAGGGGAAGGTCGGTAGGGAAGGGGGAGTTTGTAGATGGCAAAGTTGTCAAATGGCTTGAGACTATGGACTAATTGTATGGACTCGTTTGTTGGCATGCATGGGAAGTGCAGCTGTTTTTTTTGCTTTGAATAATAAAATTTTTAGCTTCCTGAAGTATCTTACACAAAATATTCTGTTCTGTTGCCAGACATAATTTCCCGAAGCTAATAAAAGAAAGCTACGAGTTCTACAAAATCTCCGCACCTCACCTGGAGGATATCCTGAAAGATGATGAACTCAATGTCAAGAACGAAGAAGCCGTTTTTGAAGCGATTAAAATGTGGATCGGTTATTCGCCTACACGAAGAAAAATTCATTTATTCAGGTAAAAATCATTAATCTTTTATCAGTTAGTAAGCCTGAATGAGATATTTTCAATCTGCTGTGGCCTGAGCTAATGCCAGATTGAAATTCAATAATCGATATTTACATTTGCTCCAATTGTGTATAGTATTTGTCTAAAAGTTTTTCTATATGCAATATTTACAGTTTGCTGAAGTGTGTGAGGCTAGGGACACTAAGCTACGAAAGTGTGCTAGAAATAGCCACATGGGCACTAGTTGAAGAGGATGCCCAATGCAAAGAATATATACAGGATGTATTAGCTGTTATGGGTGGATTGGGGGAAGAAGATGACGTAGATTACATCAACAACTATTTATTTAGACCAAGGTAGGGACATTGCATTCGTGGAAAACGTATAGGGAACCTAACGGCTTAACATAAGCTAATTTAAAGCACATAGCGCAAGGTCTAAGTTGAAACGATTGAAGAAAAAAGTGTCAACCGGCTACGAATTGACCCTCCTGTAACTTTTTTATATGAACTTCCAGAATAAGAAGTTGTATATAAAAGTTATAGGGTCTAACATGGAGTTTTTTGTGTAATATTTTTTTAAATATCAGAACAGAGTTGTCCGATAAAGTTGATTTTTTTTATCAGAACACTCCGGAAAATATCGAGAGAGTTCGTGAAAGTGTAGTTGAGCGCCCTGAGATGTCAACCAGACATAGTTCTCAAGAACTGGGTATTCGTCACACGTCATTATGCACTATTTTAAAAAAAGGCTTGCATTTAGGCCATGGAAGTCGCCAACAATACAGTCATGCAATATTGCAGCCTAATACCCAAAATAACGATTTTTACCGACGTCTGACTTTTGTTTATGGGGATTTTTGAAAAGTAGGGTTCATTCGAATAACCCAAATACTGTAGACCAGCTGAAGAACAATATTATGAAAGCGGTTGAAAAGATTTCTTCCGAAAACTATCAAAAAGTGATGGAAAATGTAATCAAGAGGGCTTAGATTTGCACGGCTTCTATAGGAGGACGTTTGTCTGATATTATTTTTCAAATATTATATATAACAAATATTTAAGATACAAACCAGTCAGTCACATATCGGCCATCCTGTAGTTTAGAAGCACGTTTGATTCATCATGTCTTGGATCACCATAGCTGGGTGGCCGGATCTTGGCTTTGATCTATTTTACGTACTCTAACATGTATATAAAACAACTAAACAATTTGATCACGTACGGCACTTAATGGAACCTCGTCCTGGCGAGGATGGAGGACAGTTCAAGGTCAGTTTTAGCTGGAGTTTCGAAGTTTATGGAGTGAGCAATTAAATATCTGGCACTTATTTGTAATGCCTATGGGTTCTTGGTATCCCAATCTGAGGTCAGCTTGCCCATATCAGATCATTTGGAGTGCGTTCCAGTGTCATTTCAAGATGAAATTGAGAAAATGTCAGGAAATCAAATCTACTAGATCTGTACGTAGGTTTTTGGGATTGCTGAGTCCAAATCTGGTTTCAGTTTGTCCGTATCTGGTCATTTGAAATTAACTGACAGCGTCCGTCAAATGACTTGATACTCACAAACTGAGATCAGATTCGGACTCGGCGACCATAAAACCTGTATGACAGTTAAGTTCCAGATACCTGAATACTGAAATTTCATCTAAAAGTGACTTTGAACTGACTTTCAACTTGACCAGGAGGAGGTTCGTATGATGCCTTTTGTTTTCGAATCGTTCAGTTATTTTACATACATGAAAAAAACTTGACTTCCTTTTTTCTTGATCCAAATCATGTTTGGCCGAAAACCGACCTTATTAGCCGTCCTCCTTTCCTTTTTAGATTTTTGATGACAAATTCTGTTTTTTTTTTTTTAGGATTCCTTATGGAGTTCTATTTGCTGTTGGTGGATGGAGCGCTGGCAGTCCCACAAACTTCCTGGAAACTTATGATTGCAGAGCGGACAGATGGCTGTTTTCCGTAGATACAGACAGCTCACCAAGGGCATATCATGGGTTGTGTCATTTAAATGGACTTATATATATGATAGGTATGCAAAATACCTTCCACCTTCTAAGGTGAATTGCGCCTATTTTCAGCCAAAAGATATAATAGATGTCAATTTAATAGAGATGACTATATTTATCACAAAAGCCCCAATATCCTTGGTACGATTTGAAGAAAAAAAGAATATTTTTGGATGCCCAATATATGCAGCGAACACGCTTACATTCTCTTACAGGTGGCTTCGACGGGAATGAATATTTCAACAACATGCGCTGTTTTGATCCCGTTCAACACAAATGGAATGAAAGATCTTGCATGTACTATCCGAGATGTTATGTGAGCGTAACGACGCACAAGGATCAAATCTACGCTATGGGTGGATATAATGGACGAACCAGGATGAGCTCTGTAGAGAGGTAAATATAATATATAATATATCTATAAGTTTTGTTCCAACTCGCCAGAGCACCGTTCTGGAACCATCACGCTCTCACGCACTTAAGAGAGTGTTCCAGCACCTTTTGCGATCGTAGCATAGGCCGGTTTTTCAATGTACAATTAGTTATTGGATATCTGGAACGCCTTTGTTACGGCGATTTTGGTAGGAAAATAAAAGGGACTAACCTGCGCAGAAAACAACAGCAGTGTTGCGGAGTCGAAAATGGACGTCCAGTGGTCAAGTTGTAGGTTCCCTGCCAAAATATGCAGAATGTAAGTAACCGTCACAAGAGGGGTAAAGCTATTGGATAGGTCCTAAAAATTTGGCGGAGAAAAAGGCTAAGGACGAAAAAAATAAAAGTCGCTTGAACTTCTTCTTTGACGTTGCACAGATCCTGATCATTTTTCAAAAACATTTTTGGGGGGTAATCTTGGCGTGTGGGGGGTTGTAGCGGGCTGGGGGAGCATATCTATTTTTTTTTGTTGGTATACCGTTACGAGTACAGCCGCGGTGATTCTACTCACCAGATTTCCCAGAACATTTATCCTCAAAACAAAATGATGGAGAAATATTTCCAATGTACATATAGTTTTGATCAAGTGTGCCCTCAGGAATTTTTGTCAGGGGAAATGAGAGGACTAACCATCAGCAAGAAAAAACTGGGTTAAGTTGTGCTTGTGTCTGAAACTGTTTGAAGAGCAGGAGGTAGCATATTCTTTCAGCGAGCTAATACTAAAGATCCCCAGGAAAACATGCTAAATATGCAAATTTCAATTTTATGAGCCTGTTTGGATAGCTTGATCTGGCTGTTTTCTATTTTTTATCAATTAGCACTCGTAATTTCATACATCTAGTACAAAATAAGGTTGAAGGCGTAATTCTGCAGTAATATTCCTTTGATTTTATAAATTTAAATGATGATTTGATTCACCAAGCTCGCACCATCAAGTCAAATTTTACTAATCATGTAGATCAATTGCTTACTCATCTAGCAAAGATTTCCTTTATTATAAAAACAATCCGTTAAAGCATTCCCTTTTGGTGCATCTGTTTCAAAGACAAACTATGTGATATCGCACCAGTGTTCATTTTAGAAACAGTAACTTATTTATAAAAATAAGTCTGAATTTGAAACATTAAATATAAGTTACAATTATACCAAAACAAGATCTTAAATTAGTAATACTTTTGAAAGACTCAATAATTTGTAGAACAACATGTGAATGGCTGATGCTATGAAAAGGCTTGAACTTAAAAACCTTGTAATATGTAAACCATAATATACCATGTGCGTGTTCTACAATTTATTTATATAAGATCCACATATGAATTTTGTTATAGTTTACTCGTAGTTTTGTGTCAGCTTTGTTATTTAGAATAATTGTATTCTTCAGACAATAAAGCATACATAAAGCTATCTATAATGTGTAAATAAATATAATTAAGGCGACTGAAATCACAGGCATATTTTCTATTGTACACACTCCCATTTTTAGATCATTTTTTCTGATTTATGTTTCAGGTATAGCCCTCAGAAAAACCAATGGGAATTGATAGCCCCCATGCAAATGCAGCGATCTGACGCAAGTGCAGCGACAGTGCATGACAAGATTTATATAGTAGGGGGTTAGTAAGTACCATTCTACCTATGGTCGGTGCTATGGTTCTCTGGTTTCGATTAAATAATTATTATTTTCTACTCGTATGCACTCTTGCAATATTTACGCACCTTTTGATTTTTTTATGATGCAATTTACAAAAGTTAATAACACCATTTAATCAAGAATTGGAAATTCGAGTACGTTGGGTGGTCCACAGGACAGTGTCCTGGGACATTGTATACATGAACGATTTACAAGCCAAAGTAAAAAAATTACAAAAGTACATACCTGTAAAATGTTCAGCCTGGTATCTGTATCTCTTATATAAAAGAAGACTTGAAACTTGTTTTAAAATAGTTAAAAACTAACAAACTAAAATTATATACAAGTAAAACAAGGACCATTTTAAGTGTTCAACTATTAATTTTAAATACCTTGGGATGTTTGCTGTCTCTCAATTGAATTCTGATGTTCATTTCTTCTTGCACTGTTCGGCTGGTCCATATTTAACTAATAATTCCATTAAATATAATACTGAATAAAGATACCCCATTTAGACAAATGCTTGGTGAATTTACAAAGTTCAAAATAGCATATTTCCACTATGTCTTACTAAAGTAACACCGTCAAATGCCGACCATCGTTTACATAATACCAGAAATAAAGATATCTTCTATTTAATATCCAAAATGTGTAATATACATATGTTACAAATATGTGTTCCTGAATATAATAAACACAGATAAAAGACCAGTATACTTGGGAACAATTCGAAGTAAAATTGAGCAATAACCTGTTAAATCTGCAATTATACTTAGCATGTCCATCATGTGGCCTGAATTTACTAATAATCCCAAGGTGTTTAAAATTATTCTGTTTATGTAGTCAAACGTACCAAATAAATATTTCTCCTTTTACGTCTCTTTTAAAATCAATGGATTAGAAAGTGTAAACAAAACATTACGATAAGTAGGACAGATGTATCAATCAAAAATGTTGTAAAAAAGTGACATCTTCATATTAGTCTTGTTCCCGCACTATTGTAATTTTCTTGATATTGTCCTACACCTATTAGTGCAAAATTGCGCCAGTGCAGACCAATGCAAAACACTACTAGTTATAAAGAAATGTTGTAATGTTCAGATGAGCTGTCTTGTATATACAGGGTGTTTTCAAAGTTGATTCATTTATTTTAACTGCTTGTAGGACTCATCAAAAGGAGCTGATATACCAAAAATCACCTATAAGTATAAAAGTTGCATAATAAAAGAAATAATGAGACATTAAAAATGTTAAAAATAGGAATGCTACTACACATGTTTTTTGATATTCTCGACCACTGCTGTGTAAAATGCGTTTTTTGTTTACTGTTATCGTTTTCTGAATCTGGCAAACTTCTTGTGTTGTTGTCTAGTTTTCAGTACGTGTCTTTGGTTCGATCATTTGTATCAGTCTTTTAATAGTGGACTAGTGCACATAATACTAACGTACGGAGAGTGCCAACAAAATGCAGCCTCAGCATGCAGGTTGTATGCGGAAAAGTTTCCTATAAGAAATCATCTGGCCGAACGGATGCCTGTAAATTTAGTTATTAGACTTCATGACACAGGATGTTTAACAGAACAAAGAGGAGGTCACGCTGGAAAATCTGAAATGTTACAAATTGCGGAAGACAATTTAAAAATGGCCGAGAACTACTCAACAATGAGTATTAGAGCCATAGCAGCTGAATTTGAAGTTTCTCATAGTAAAGTGTGGAAGACAATATGACAAGAACAGTACTATCCTTATCACTATCAACAAGTACAAGCATTACAACGTGAAGATCATTCTAGAAGGGTTGCATTTTGCTAGTGGCTTTTAGAACAGTTCGTCAGAAATGATTTGACGAAATTATTTTAAGGTTATTTGAAAGAGTTGGTGTATCATGATGGAGCAGTAAATACTGTAGAAGAACTTCAATAGCGCACTGAAAATGCTTATTAATTAAGGCGTGGACACCAGGATTTTATTTTCGAAGCTTGTAAAGTCGTTGATTCGCCGAGCAAAAAGGCGTTAATGGAACAAGTGGGAACAATTTTAAACACTTTTTGAAAAAACGGTATCCATTTGACTTGAAATTGATTTTTTTTAATAATTTTTAATAATGTAAACTAACTCTCTTATTATGCAACTTTTATATAGGTGATGGTATATCAACTTCTTTTGATAAGATCTACAAGCTGTTAAAATAAATGACCCAACTTTGAAAACACGCTGTATATGCAATATGGCACAGAATTTAATCCCTAGTCATATGTCGTATTTGGTAATTAAAACTAACCAAACACATTATAGAAGCACTAAAATTAGATTGCAGTAGCCTTAAAGATTGTTCCAAAGTTATTAAGGTAGTAAGACTAATAAATCGACAAGGCTATGCCTGTGTCACGCCACGTCACCTCATTGACCTCCATATCAATTCTGATTTGATCTTCAGGTTGATATTTCGTGGATCTAGACTACAGGGTTTTGACAAATTACTCCCGCATTGCAGGTTTCAATGGGCAAGAAGTGATGAGCTCAGCCGAAGTTTTCGACATCGCTGCCAACCAGTGGTCATACATTCCCCAGATGCAGTCAGCACGAAGTGGGGTCTCCCTTATCGCATTCAACAATACCCTGTATGCCATGGGAGGTTTCAACGGTCACACCAGGTTGGCCACCGGAGAGAAGTTCACGCCAGATGCTTCTGCAAGATGGTCGGATATCGCAGAGATGCTCACGCCAAGAAGCAACTTCGCTACTGTTATACTCGATGACTATATCTTTGTGATTGGGGGATTCAATGACAGATTTGCATCTGGTGAGACAGGTTGTTTGTAGTTTTTATACTTCCACTACAACATACCTGACATTTATGTCCTTTACTATCAAAGCGCGGGAAGTAACCTTCGGGCATAAGATTGTAAGATGGGTGCTCTTGTCGCTAGACATCAACAAAGCTTCTGGTTCGGATTTGATGCCTGCCTTTATACTGAAGAAGACCGTCCTGCACGTTCCCAGAAAACTGGAAATTTGCTCATGTTCAATCCCTCTCAAAAAGAAGGATTGCAACTACATGCCCATAGCTCTACTTTCTTTTATAAGTAACGTGATGGAGACGGGGCAACTGAAGCAACTGGAGTACATCGAAAGTCATGACTTGATCAGTGTCAGGCAGTATGGATTTCGGTACCAGAGATCTACGTGAAACCCCCTACCTTACATCATGCAACTGGTACAGTAAGCTCATCCAGTATTATGGCGACGCTTATGTTGCTCTTGATATCACTGTGGCTGCTGCCCTCTTATGCAAACTTCTATCCTATGACCTCCCAGAGAAGCTTTGCAGATGGGTGACTGACTTCCTCTCTGGTCGCAAGATATCATCACAGATGACAGGTTCTCTTGTTAAATCCACAATTTCTACGCGGATATTCTCCAGGGATCGATTTTGTTCCTCTTACATATCAACGACCTTCTTTTCTGTACGATCAATCGAATCTACAGCTTTGCTGATGACATCGCTCTATATGAGCAGCTTCGCAAAGCTGTTACATGTGCGCTAAATATTGTAATGTAGTTAAACAGGAAGCTTGTCAATGAACCATGCAAACACAGTTAATGATGGTTTTCCTTCAGGTTCAACAACGATCAACTACGTAGAATATTTCGATCCCAAGTCAAACGATTGGTACGATGCCGCTTCAATGAACGTGAGTCGTTCAGCGTTAAGCGCATGCGTACTGTACGGATTGCCGAACGCCAAAGATTACACATTCCTCAGACGTAACACTTTCGAAATAGGACCAGACATGGCAATGCCACAAAATGATGAAGAAAACACAACGCCACAGCTGGACGATAACGGAAATCCGGACTTGTGACCAGTGACAGTGGTTAACGCCTTCTTATCTATACAATGTTATACGGATATATTTCTACAAGTTTTTATCACATTCGTAGTTGTGTGACATATGTAGTATATGTTCTGACAATAAAGTAATTACAATTTTTGTTGTTGTTGTGAATTATGTAGTTTACATGACGCAGGAGCAGGTATCGGCTCTTTCTAATGGATCAAAGGAACACAGTATCCCCGATCAACAACCCGCTGTGGTCCTGTACTTAAGAAATGGCGCAACACTGTACTAAGTTCTATTCACAGTTCTTGGCGGTTACGTCACAATTCCAAGCAAAACAAGAAACAAGTGAACTGTTTGACTATCTGAACCGTACGAGGAGATTAACTTCCCTAAGGGAAATTACACGGTGCACAAGCGGGTCAAATACTCGCTTTTGCACACCCCCATGAATTAGGTCAGGGCTGTCCAACTTAATGTGGCCCAAGGGCCACTTCAAAAAAAATGCAGTTTGTAGGGCCGCATTATAAAATCTTTCTATACAACATTATTACTGAGTTTTAATAGGTATACAAGAATGGTTTTTCTATTATTTTTATTAATTCAAATAATATGAAATTACAAAAAAATCAGTGGGACATTTAAGGATGTTGGTTTTCTAATACTAATGCATCAATATTAACATTAATATTTGTTGTTGATAAACGAAGTAACTGAGTAAGAGACTTATCAGAGAGGGAACATCTATACTTTGACTTGATAAATTTCATGTTGGAAAAGCTGCTTTCGCATCATTGATCCCTTTGTAAGTCCTAAGTTTCGCAAGTTGGGGTATCGTTCTCCTGGCAGTAACTTAAAAAAGTCCAAGCCAGTTTCAGTTCTTTCTTGGTAAAAAGGGTCTGATTCACACAATTCCAGTTGAAGGTCTGCTCTGCTTACGTTTTCAACAGAAATTGTTAGTGTCTGAGTAAAAACTGAAATGTCGCTTTCGATTTTTTTAAAGACACTAAATCGATTTTTGAATTCTTCTGCAATTGTGTCAATGTATTTTATATGAGGTAAATATGAAACTTCCTCAAAATCATTCATTTCTTCTAAATGTTCTTTACAACTTGGAAAAAATGAAAAATATTTTTTTTGTAATGAAGACTTGAAAAGCTTAATTTTATTGTTAAAACCATTTATGTGTCCAAATAAGTTGGCAATATTCTGCTGTTTTCGTTGTAGCTTCAAATTCAATTCGTTAAGGTGAGATATCATGTCTGTTAAAAATGCAAGGTCTGCTAAAAATTGTGCATCTGCCATTTGATTTTGCAGTTCCGTAGTGTCGGACTTCACTTCATTTTAAGGAAAATAGGAATTTCCTTGCGTAGAGCTAAAAATCGTTGCACTTTCCGGCGCATAACCAACGAACAAGTCCCCATATGTAGCATCCACTTCGGCAAAAAGATCACGAATCTTTCTGTGAGTCAAAGCACGATTGCCTCCTCTAACAATATTAGTTACTTTAACAGCCACTTTCATGACATTTGACGTAAAGATTTTCCACATAAGCTCTCTTGGTGAACAATACAATGTAACATAGGACAGTTGATGCTGTTTTGTTTTAATAGTCCTGCAAATCCAATTTCAGTCCCTGTCATAGCTCTGGCGCCATCAGTGACAATACAGGAACATTTATCAAATCCCCCGTAGTCTGACACCAACTTATTCACAGCTTCAAAAATATCTATACCCTTGGTTGTACCATGGAGCAGAGTCAGGTCAAGCATCTCCTCTGCTACACTGAAGTCGTCTTGAATAGTTCGGATAAAATTTTTTATCAAATTACAAGCTGGCTAGTGTCAGACAGATCAGTGCTTTCATCCAGGCTTAGCGAAAAATATTTATATTTTTCAACCACGTCACGCAATTTTTTGGATACATGTTCATTGATTTGGTCCACGTCTTGCAATTGCTTGATGAGATACTGAGACTGTTTCAAATTTTTCGGCAAGTTTTGATTGACTGAATTGTTTTGCCATTTCTATTGCACACTTTTTGATAAGCACTCCATCACTAAAAGGTTTTTTTGCTTTGTCAGTTTCCAGCACTATTTTGTAAGAGGCGGCAATACTGCACTTGTTATCAGTCAGATTTTTTGAAAAAACTTGTTTGTTGTTTTAGTTTTTTCTTGTATTCCGTTATGATAGCCTGCTTCGAGTCCCCTGAATATTGCCGAAACGTTTTCTCGTGTAACGCAGTGTAATGTCGTTTCATATTATATTCGTTAGGAACCGATAGTACTTGCATACAAACAATGCACTGAAGTTTATTATTATACTCACACAGTTGTCCATGCATACTGGCCGATTGCATATGTATTTCACAACTTATCCGACAAATTTTAAGTTATAAATCTGAGATTCGATAATAAATTTAAAAATGAATATCTGTATTTTGCGTTCATCATCGTCATATTAGAACACGCATTAATAATTTATTGTAGCAGATGTTGTATCAAACAACTGACGAAAGCAAATACCAGGAATTTTTTGTTTTTCATACTGACAAGAACGAGTAAATAAGGTTTAATATTTCTAATGTCAATGATAATGCCCATCACTATCCCACTGTGATAGCCCATTACGCGACGACCCTATACTTTTCAATGACAGTGTTTATGAAGTGTTATGAAGTGAAGTACTTGTTTTATTTTTCGAATCTGATTTATATAACATTCACCACAAACTCAAAAACAACTCAGTATCAAATTCAAAATAAACAACTACTTCTGTAACCCAACTTTCTAAATAAGGCGCCAATTTTATTTACCTCCACTCACTAGAGGAGCATGGGGCCAGTTCTTCATTTGCTTCAACACTATTCCCTTTTCAGTTTTGCTTTGATTTCTCCAAGAACCATATAATATAAGCCACTTATGCCAGAGCTTGATAATACTTTACTTTCTGAATGCAACTTACATGCATAGGAAAAACAGCAGACAAAATTTGCTCAGAACGTGCTTTGTAGTTTTTACAAAATGACATTTCATTACATAGTAAATCAGGGCCACATATGACTTCAGTTAACATCAGGCGATGCATGTAGCGCCATCTACAGGAGTGTATTTGAGCTGCGGGATCGCCGAACACATTATTTTTTTTCTTATTACTCGTCAATAAAATTTCATGAGAATGTTATCGTTCTACTCTTGATGCAAGACTACCTCATTGCCAAAAAATCAGGTTGACTCAAACTTCACTTTTTGACGTTTCACCGTCATCAAAATTTCAGCAAAAATTTTGTAGGCGTTAAAAATTGAGGGCTGGACATTGTAGGGCGTAGGGAGGATGTTCTCAATTGTCTGGCATTAAATACAGCACATAGTTGACTACCTTCAGATGAAAATAGTTAATCAATGCTTGCATTCAATATCAAGAGCATAAGGGCCACCATGGGACTTCCTACTGGACAATATCTGAATTAACATACTCGTACTTAGTGTGTATTGAGTGATGTTTCGGAATTCTTTGTTCAGTCCATATTCAGGTGCTCACTTCACTTTTTTGATAGTATGCTCAATGATATAACCTTACACCAACTGGAAAGTCACTTCTGCCAAAATGCCACACGACCTATTTATGACACATTTAGCCCAGTTTGTATAAAATTCCGAAAAATTCATGAAATGTACTTATGTAGAACATGACTTCACGCACATCAAAAAGAAAATCGACGCTGGGTAGTATAGATATAGAAGGAAGCAGAGTATCGTATGAAATTTATAATGGAGGTCTTGGAAAGAGATACTTTGACAAATTGGGACAAGACCTTGACAAGATCATTCAGGTAAACTTATTGTATCATAATACTTGTTTTCAGACAGCTCAATAAAATTCTCTTCCTTTTTACAAGCGAACAAGCTATGATGAGCTTGGGTGCTCAATGCCCTACCTAATATCCCAGAACAATACCGATACTTTCTCTTAAGGGCTTCAAGCAGAACCCACCAAACGTATTTCGATTCAGGATAGACAAGGCTCTATGCGATGTATAACCGTTTATCCCCAAATTTGTCTTGCCGAGTCAGACCACAAATATGTTTAAAATTCATCTTTATTATACGACGTTCCAGTTCCAGTGGTGACCTTTTTTAAGTACACTTTTCACAATATATTTCTAGCATTTCAGATCCATAAATAATGCAAAAGCAGCACTTATTGTCGAAGATTGCATAAAAATTAACCAGTGTGCTATGACATCAGTTCTAGGTGGGTTTTGCCGTTTCGGATGATTCTTTTCGTTTACGAGACGGTAGGCGAGGGTGACGTCTTTGGTAAATTAAATATCGGCAGAAGGCTGGACGTCCTTTTGGGAACGGGAATACCTACCGCAGGCGGTCCTGTATGTCCACATCATGTTACAGGTTGTATAGGAACGTGTAAAGGAAAGAAATAACAATACAGGGTGACTTTGAAGTTGAGTCATTAATTTTCAGATAATGATTGTACAAGATAAACCAAAATATGTGTGTAAAAATAAAAAAATAAAAGCAATGTTACATTGTTTTATAAAGTATCCTCCCGACAAGTATTTCAGTGCGGACCTGTATTTGATAGTGCGGTCTTGGAGCACCGGCATGCCCTCCCCTGTGAGGTCTTAAATCACCTGATTCACGAGCCCTTTGTACTACATTAACAAAGGCACGAGGGGTTGGTTGCACTCGATTGGGAAACCGATTCGCATAAATCCGTCATGCCGCGGCAGCATTTTGTAAATAAGAATCATGTCCACAAGTTCAGCATTTTCGTAAACATGTGCCATTTTTTATTTCGTTTGAGCCACGCAACAAACACCACTATTCACTAACGCGTTACCGACTGACACATTGACTGAATACAACTAAAAACATCGTGATAAGCGTTTCAAATTCTTTCGCTTTTTTGTTTACAATGCGATGAACCGATAAGGCGGATTATATCCGTTGTTGCCAAACACGAGCACATAATATTATTATTAAGACAGGGCGGTACTCAAACTTCTAAAGGGCTATAACTTTGTTAATTTAATTTTACCAGAAAAATGTTAAAGGAAAAAAACATTTCTTTTGATCAGATCTACTCACTGTTATAATAAATGACTCAACTTCGAAGTCACCCTGTATAAGTATGACTTTTAAGACAGATAAACAAAAAATATTGTGAATATTGTCAATTATTGTACTTGAAAAAGGACACTGATGGATTGGAAAAGTAGTAAAATAAAGGAGAATTTCGAGCATCTGTGTGGTTTTCTTCGGCAAGATAAAATCATGAATAGGAAAGGTTAAGTTTCAGATGTATTTGTTTGTTAGTAGTAGACTTATTTGGTATTAGTGATACAATATCAAGTAACACCACAGGTTATAGGTTTTACCATGCCAGCCTAAGTCAAACTGCGACGGATCAATTGTGGACCCTTCATACACTGACTGTCTAGATTTAATCATTTGATCAAAGTTTAGAGCCTTGACACAGGGCTTAGCATGTAGTTTTCCGTAATTGGGATTCCGATTCCAAATACCTGCAAGCTTAGTCTTGTCAGGAATTTGCAGTGATGAAATACGTGCACTGCTGTTTCCTCAGTCTCTCTGCAGAACCGGCATGCTAACTGGTCGGTTAACCATGCTAGAGACTTCTTCTTCTTGGTCCAATCTTTGATGAACTGCTTGATGCGTGTGTTCCTGACGTCACCGGAAGACAGCGAATTGAACCCAAACACGACTGACAGATCATTCGTCGGGAGATGTATGTACGAGGTCTGTAAATTAAGAGATTGACTGTTTTTTCAATTTTTTATTCAAATATAACTACAATGTTATATCGTCACCCTCAAAATAACTTCTTTTTTAAACTCCACAGCGCTAAGGACGCTTCTTCCACTTCTCATTGTAGTGCTGGAACTCCGATACTGGAATAACCTTCAGCTGGTCAGATACAGACGTTTGAATGTTTTCGACTATCCCAAAATGAGTTCCTTTGACTTGGTTTTTCATCTTCGGGAAGAGAAAAAGTCTCAAGGACTCAAGACAGGCGAATACGAAGGCTGAGGAGAGGAATGTTTTTACTGGCCAAAAGCTCGTTTGATGACAAGGAGCATCATCGTGATGCAACACCCAGTTGTTCTTCATCTCATTACCAGTGTTATGAGCCAAATTTAATTCGTCACCGATATTCTAACTGCCAACCGTTGATGTGAACGCACAAGATCCCGGATTCTGACCTGGTTGGTATGGAAAGCAGCTTTTAGCTGACACCCGCCAGGTTGAATAAAGGCTTTTATTAGGCTATTATTATTATATCTTCAGCGGTCCTTCGTGGTTCCTTTTAATCGACTTCCTCCCTTCTGAAAATACCTCAAACCACACAAAAACCTGGGCTCTTGATAAAACACTATATGTGTAGGCCTGCTGAAGTTCAGCAAGAGTTTCCGCTGCACTGTGCCCAAGTCTGAAGCAAAACCTGATAACACACCGTTGTTCGACGTTGATTTCAGTCATTTTTAAAACACTATAGGAAAAACTGTTTCTCGAGCGAGTTCAAACTTGTACTGAAGGCCGATCACATGTTCCAATGTCTCTTCTCCAACCCAGGCGCCTCCAGTGTTTCCAGATCGAACGCTACGTTGTCAGTCTCATCACTTAATTTACAGACGTGGCATACGAAGAGCACTCACAAATATTAAGGCAACATGAAAACTATTCAGGGTCTTAATCTGATGAATGTCTTTATTAAGAAGTTACAAATGAGACTAAAGGCGTCATTAGCTGTTTTTTGTTCATAGCATTATTATCAAGAAAGGTGAAGATCATCTAACTTATTGAGCTCTTTTTCTAATTGTCGTTGTCTAGTAAACTGACACGATGAAAGTTAAAACATTCATAAAGCATGGATACAAAATTAACACCCTGAGTTGAAAAACATCTGCGGGAATTTTCGACAGGCAATGAAATTAATTCTAAACTCCTAAGAGATATTCCTACATTCATAGGAAAATCATAAAGGTTACAAAAAACCTCTATATAATTGGAGTCGCCCATAAACTGTTTTGTAAGAATGAGACAATTAGCGAGTCCTCCGCACACATTTTAGGTTGTTTTGAGGAAGGCAATCTGAAACGCAAGGGGATGAAATTGATACATGAGTACTATATTTTAACATAAAAGTGACAGTTGGAAAAATTTAATGATAGTGGCTGGGCATTTTGATGGTTTTTGATCTATAAGCAACACAATCTACAAAAACGCTCAATTTTGACAGTCTGCCAATCTGCCATTTTGAAAGATAGAGTTTTCGGACCAGGGAACCCGGTTGTCCTATATATGCCTTATATTTTTCAGCATGATAAACTACCAGCGCTTTGAAGAAGAGTGCATATGGATTTTTTTGTTGGGGATAACCCAAAAAAGCTAGAAAAACATTGACCAGTGCAAAAAAAAACAATTTTTTAAATTTTTTTCCAAAGCCTTGAAGCTATTTTGTGACTGGCAGCATGCTTCGTTGAAAGAGGTCCTTATGAATAAAATTATGCAGTATGACCAATACAGTCTCTTTTTTTCGGGTAGATTTGATGCTCGAATATACTCCATGCTCAACATCTTGGAAATAGGAGTCTGATCAGTGTCATGTTTATTATATTATTTGTTTATAAATAGGCTATCGGTGATTAACATTAAATTTTTCGTGAAAATATAATAGGCTGGTATAAATTATGTATTTTGTAATAAAAGCACGAAATAGGCTTTCGGGTGGTTCGCTTGACCTATTGACGTTTCATTAATGAATACGACATTAATTAAGGATAACTTTTGTTAATCTCTATAGTGATTTTGTTAAGAAGAAGTTTAATTTTTTATGTATAAATTTGAATAAACCAAACTGATGGATAATATGTTTTATTTACAATTATTGAGTTGGATATCTAAACAAAAAATACCCAATACCCGGGTATCAGAAACGTCCGGGTACGCAAACACCCTAGCTTACATGAATTCTATGACTCCAAATTTCAGCTCACTAATTTCACTTTGTCAAAAGACAATTGGGGGAAGACGTTTTCAGAATGCATTGTATAGTGGTGCACTGACTTGAACTCAAGGACACCTTGGCATACACATTTATCAAAAACCTGACAATATTGATTTTTGCTTAGGTTGATGTATCCACTGGTGTAACGGAAACCCGTGGTTCCGTACGGGGCAGAGCTGTAAAGCTCGCCATTGAAATGAAGAGGAGAGGCATCAAGCACGATGACATAATAGTAATGTGCAGCAGAACAAACACAGATCAGGTGATAGTCGTATTGGCGGCACTCTTCTTAGGTGCCATCTTAGCACCGCTAGACCCGGAGTTCAACTACAAGGAAGTACTAGACCTTATGAAACAGTTGAAACCAAAACTGGTTTTTGGCGACTCCAGGACTATCCCCCAGTTTGACAGGATATTCCAGGTATTTTATGGTTTTATAGATGACAACAAAACAAAAAGTTTGCGAGATAGCATTTATGTACTTCCTCAAAAGATACTCTATATGCTACTAGCACCATGTGTGACTTCGAAGTTGAGTGATTTATTTTAACAGTGAGTAGATCTGATCAAAAGAATTTTTTTCTTTTACCATTTTTCTGGTAAAATTAAAGTAACAAAGTTATAGCCCTTTGGAAGTTGAGTACCGCCCTGTCTCAATAATAATATTATGTGCTCGTGTTTGGCGACAACGGATATAATCCGCCTTATCGGTTCATCGCATCGGAAACAAAAAAGCGAAAGAATTTGGAACGATGTTTTTACAATTATTTCATTCTGTTGTATACAGTCAGTGTCAGTCGGTAACGCGTGAGTGAATGGTGGTGTCTGTTGCGTGGCTCAAACGAGATAAAAAATGGCACATGTTTATGCGGATCGGTTTCCCAATCGAGTGCAACCCACCCCTCGTGCCTTTGTTAATGTAGTACAAGTAGTACAAGAAGTACAACGGGCTCGTGAATCAGATGACTTAAGACCTCACATGGGGACGGCATGCCGGTGCTCCAAGACCTCACGATCAAATACAGGTCCGCACTGAAATACTTGTCGGGAGGATACTTTATAAAACAAGGTAAATTTTTTTTTTTATTTTTTTTTATTTTACACACATATTTTGGTGTTTATCTTCCTTCTACAATCATTATCTGAAAATTAATGACTCAACTTCAAAGTCACCCATGCAGTGTCTAACTGTATATATTTTCGAATGTCACCTATAAAATCGGAAGAGGCATTTCTTAGTATATTACAAACTAGTCAACATCAAGTTCACTTTATATGTCTTTGTAAAATGGCTACCGTTGTAGTTGAGGCCCTTTTAAAAGCCAGTGATTTATAATTTTCTATTTTTTAACTTCAATATCCAATGTCGGAAGTAGAAATGAATAGTATTTACCAATTCGAGAATCACAAGCGATACAATGTAGCTAGAAAAGGATATGAAAATGTTAAAGCTACTGTGCTTTTAAGATTCGACCTATTAAAATGGAAGCGACAAACTTACCGCTGTCACTTGTTGAACCACTTCATCCTCCTAGGTCAACCAACTTACCTGTAATCAGGAGGAACAGTTAAAACTCCAAAATAGTGCTGATTCTATACAAAAACATAATGAAACATATTTATGAACACTATGTAATTCTGTTATAGTTACCATCAGCTTTTCAGGCTATTAATATGAACATTACAACAGTGAACTTCAACCCGGAAGTAACAGGTACCGTTCAATTCCGGAAGCTACTCCTCACTCAAAAGGAAGATGAAAACTTCACACCCAGCTTCGTAGAGAACGCAAAAACTAGAGTTGCGTTCATACTACCTACTCAAGGAACTACCGGTCAGTAGCTAAGAAGTAACTTTATACATACACTGTTAAGCCTATAAATACCAGCGTATAAATCTCCACTTTTTTTATGCTAGTGCATCTAAGGTAATGCAAGATAGTAAATGGTGACCAGTGCGAAACCACTTCATATTTGTCTGAATAGGACTAGAACAGTGCATTCGAATAGGTTAGACGCATATGCCTATGGTTATTATGGAAGAAAGTTTTTAGTGCAAAAAATTAACGAATTGTCAAGCCTCACGGAACGTTATTTTTGATGAAATGTATGACGTCTGAAACGTGGTAATTTGATAGTACTGACTGTCATGAGAGGTTGATTATTTTTTGGATTCTGAAGTAAAGCTAAACCCAAATTTTGGACGCACTCTAGGAAAAAAACAAGAGTAATTGTGACGTACTATTTTTATTTGGAAAAATAATGCCACTGATGCACTTAATTTTAAGTAAAGACTTTTGAATGTGGAAAGTACATAGGTAAATCCGCATACCAAATTTTAGTTTATTCCAGTTAACGGTTTTGAAGGTATTAAAAAAGGTTTTTTTATTTTTAAACTTCAACACCCCGTATCTTTTTAATGAAGCCCTCGAGGAAAAAGTGTAACATATAAGACCCCTCTTAAAATGCGGTCCTGTGTATGATGTTTTCTTGATTACGACTTGTATTCAGCGCCCCAAACCCCAAATTACCTTGTTGTACAAAGCTTCGATAGCCATCCATAAGGAAAATGGGCTTTTAGCACCCAAAAGTTGTAAAAACGTATAGTTTTGCAATTTTTCGCTAAATAATTAGATCTATATGTACATGTAACGGAATCAGATACATGAGAAATGACGCTAGATTCGGCTTTGGCAACCCAAAATACGTATAATAGAGGTCATTTGAACCGCATTCAAAGCATTTTAATTTCTAGTGGTATGTTCTAAAATTGCAAAAATGGATCAGTCAAGAATGTGAACCCAACCACAGTTTTTTTAATAATACTCTACAGTTATCTACAGTTTTTTCAAGCTCATACACGTTATTCTCTCGGATGGGGTTGGCAACGCTGGTGGTCGGTGACCTGTCGGTGGCTGTGTCTGGGATCCGGTCATGTGAATTTAGTCTATATAGCGTAGCATAATGAGCGGAATTTGTGTGGCAAGATCCTGAACACGGTCTCACTGACAGGTGACGACACCTGTACGAACAGGACTTTAAGAGGATTAAATATTTTTTGACTATGGACTATGGAAAAAAACAAAGTTCTACTATGTAAATATATTCAATATCTATTTTATCATAAATTACATAATCATTAATAGGAGAACTATGATTTTCCATCTTCTCTACTATTTATTAGGGGAATATGGTTTTTGGTGACTGCATTCACACTTGGGCAAGGGAAACCCCTAGAAAACCTTAGCCGTCACTGCTCAGATTAATTGTATCAGGTGAAGAAAAATCAAGTCGTTCCACAATTCTGGGTCCATTTGTACAATCGAAAATATATAATCCACCAGCATGCCACAGTCATTAACCTAAAAAAAAAGAGGCATTGAAGTGACGGTTTCTACGAGGGTCATTTTTTAAGTAAGAACCGTTTTGTATTCGAGTCGGAGAAATTTTATTTATGAATGTAAATTGTATCACAAACTAAAATATGAACATTTTTTCATTTTTTAACACAGTCACATTTACAAGTCAAGTTACCAGTTTTTGGTTATTGTAGCATCTGAAACTTTTATCCTGTGGTTTTCAAGTCGACTATTTTTCCTCGTCTTAATTTCTACCAAACATAAACGCGCAATTTTGAATTACGAATGGTTTCTAGATGGAAAAATTGTATGACAGCATCTGTCAGCAGTTTTTTCCAGTTTACCCGCGGCTAAACTTGTCAGCAAAAATTGCAATATGATTGATTGATAAGTAATTATGGTCTCATAAAACACCAGAAAACGGCGCTAAACAATTTTTCCGATTTAATTGCCAATAAATTTTGTAAGCTATGTGTATGATATGACTCGTGGAATAATCTTGTCAAATACCATCCGGGCATCTAATTTTTTCCTGTCGTCTTCGACTCGGATTTTTGTTGCCAGCACTCATGCTTCTTGTTAAAATATTACTTAGCAACGTGTTTTTTCGATTTTTTTCGGAAAAATTAGATGCCCGTATGATATTACTTATGATAATCCCACATATGTCTCTCGCCAATCGAAAAAAACTTTATTGTAAACGTTTCCGTGACAACTGTGACATTCTTCAGTACAATGACTTTGACAATACATTTTATTTATCTATCCTCCAGGTGGCACTTTGTTCGTTTTTTCTTTTCATTTTCATACCCCCATACAGTGTGTTACTACAATAGTGTGAAATGTCCTGTAACATGTTGAGATCTTGAGATTACACCCCGCATAACCTGCATAGCCCAGGACAGAATATACAGAATATATCTTAGCGCATAACTTTTTGTTTTTTTTTTGGAAGAAGTTGAAGACATCAATAGAAGTTATCATTTTTTTAATAAAAATGGATGTGAAACTATAAGAAATCGTTTTTTGCAGAGGAAGTAAACTGTGTAGAGGCGTTGCGTTGTGATGTCTTCTTGAAATTCGTTAACCATTTTTTTCGCGTATCTTCAATGAGATCAAAGTTTTTGCGTTTATAGGAAATGTTTGAAAGTAGAAACAATTCTCTATGGCCCCTTTTTAACGTTTATTTCTCCAACCAAACTGATGGATCATGAGTTTTTTGAGATTGAACGGTCACGCTACTGGATGCGCAAGTGGTTCTTACTTTAAAAACGCCTCTCGTCGTTCAGTGGCATCTTTCTGATAAGTTGTTAGAAAAATAAAATTAGGTGAGAGCTTCCTTTTATGACAGTAGGTTTCAGAAGCTATATTTTCCTATAAGATTTACTTATCGGGTAAGACGTCAGTGAAACATGAAGAATAAATAAGTTCAAGGTTATGTAAAAAATACCTGTCCATTATTGCGATTATCAATTCAAATGATATTCATATGTTATAACCTCTTGGCTCATTGGGTTAGTTTCCCAAATATGTCCCTTAATTTCTTCTTGGTTTCTTCAAAAGTTGTATGAGAATCGTGGACATTTTTAGAAGCTTTTGCTTGGAACCTGACTGTATTTCGTAAAACTTCATCAATATATTGACAGTAGACCATACTACTATCTATTATTCACAGACTTATCTACAAAGAGAGTTCACATAAGCATTCTCATTCCAATAACACTTCTGCTAATTTTGGAACATCAAGTAGGTTGACTCTGTATTTATTTATCTAAGTATAGTTTGAGTGGAAAGCTTTTGGTATTCTTAGGGTAAGATTAGAAAACACATCTCTTGAGAACGTTTCCAAGATCCTTAAAAGTTCTATCTATACTTTAGTGGTTCATTAAGTTCAAAACCAACCTTCCTGATGCCATACTCTCAAATGCTTACCCTATAAAAATTTTGATGTTCGTTTGATTGCTGTTTTCATATATTGCAGCATACTATAAATCGGGCATTCAATCATTCTTAACATGCTTCTATTGTTCCTATCCAACCTCTATCTTTACTCGACTTGTGTATGCCCAATAAAACTTTCATCCAGCTATCCAGACAGAACATTTTTTGGAACAGTTGCCTACACAAATCATTATCATCAATATTCGTTATCTCACGTTTACCACCCTCGGGAGTGTCTATAGCGTATGCCATTCGTGAAGTTGGGGGTCCCCCCTCCAAAGCTTGATAAAAATATTTGAGCTATGATTCTGGAAGAAAACCTGGAAGTTTTTGAACACCAGTTCTGTAAAATACGTGAAAATAAGGAATGTGCAATCACATTTTAGCTAAAAATAGACATGTTAGTTAAATATGTACCTAATAGAAATAGTAAATACTAAATGGAAGCTAAAATAAAAATTATAATATATCATCATCATCATTATTTATCATTGTTCATCACCATTCCTGAAATACGAAACGTTCTTATTATCACCTAAAAGCTGAAACAAACTAGGAAAAACACTTGAGGTGCGATTTTAAAGCATAAATAATCATAGACAACAGACCTATGAAATACGTAAAAATAAGAATTGTGGTGACCCATTTTACTTGTAAATATATTTTCTCAATAAAGGTGTTTTATCCAGGTGTCGATAGTAAAATAAAAATAGCGAACACCAAATAGAATTTAAAAAAAGCATATAATAACAAATATAGTTTTGGAGACCATCACGGGGCCACAGCCTGCCTCATACCAGTAATGATCTACTACTAGCCCCCCTATCACTAAGTATTACCAGAACTACATCTACTACTGCTACTACTGCTACTACTACTACTACTACTACTACTACTACCACCACTACTACCTTCTTATCTGGTTACTTGGCATCAACGGCAACCTGAACTTTTCACATATCTCATCCCTGAGAAACAGTGTACGATTTTACGTCGGCCACGTGTTTTGCAAGACATCTCTCCGAAAATACTTCTTCATTATTTCAATAATCATTTCCATTGATGTTCATTCTGCATGTACCAGCCTGCAATCATCTTCAAGAGGGTGAAGAAGTATAATTTTGGCCTCAGAATGTTAGCTTCCCAAATATATCCCAGAATTTCGTCAAAAGCTGGATGAAATATTTCGTACAGCTTTATCGATATATTGACAGTAGACCATACTTCTATTATCCATAGGTTTCTCTAAAAAGAGAGTTCACATAAGTACTCCCATTTAAAAAATACCTCTGCTTATTTTGCAACATCAAGTAGGTTGACTCTTTATTTCATGGATAAAAGCATAAATATGTGTATAGTTAGAGTGGAAATGTATTAGTCTTCTTAGGGTAAGTTTTGAAGATACATCTCTTGGGAACGATTCCAAGATCCTCAACCTATCTATACTTGAGTAGTACGACAAGTTTAAAGCCAACCTTCTTGATGCCATACTCTCCAATGCTTACCCTGTAAAAATTTTAATGTTTGTTTGATTGCTGTTTTCATGTATTGTAGCATACTATAAATCGGGACTTTAATCATTCTCAACATTTTTCTATTGTTCGTATTCAACCTCTATCCTCATTCATCAATATCCATCCAGCTATCCAGGCAGAACATAATTTGAAACAGCTGCCTATACAAATCATTATCGTCAATATTCATTATATCACGTTTATCACACTCGGGAGTGTCTATAACTTGTGCCATTTCTGAAATTGGGAGTATCCTCCTCCAAAGCTTGATAAAAATATTTGAGCTATGATTCTGAAAGGAAGCCTTCAGTTCTGTAAAATATGTAAAAATAAGAAATGTGCAATCACATATCAGCTGAAAACGTAAAATATATATA